AATAAAAAAATGCATTGAATTGAATAAATATTATTGTAGTTATAACCCTTTTTGGTCAAATAATGGTATCAATTTAACATATCAATTTAAAAGAACTGTGGCATACAATACACAATTAGTTGGTATACTGACCTCCCACCAATCCAAACAAGATTCAAGTATGTTTTTATTATTCTCATATCTTGTAATGCTCTGCTCAAGATAAGTACAAAACATGATCAGTGGATCCCAACTGAGGTTTGATGTATTTTGGAGCACATCTCGGACTACAATAGGATGACCTTTTCCCCAGTGTTTCTGAAAGTGCTCAAAGTTTTCACCACTGATGTCCAACACTGCCGGACAAAACAAGTAATTATCATTGGAATCTTCTCTTAGAGCCGCTTCTTGCAACTGCTTGTATCTGTTAGTGTTGTGATCGGTGTCAAAACACAATGAGCAGCTTGAACTTTTATCTGAAGTTTCAGGAAAGTCATAGCTGCAAACAATTTCTTCTGCCTTCACTTCCATCTCTTTGATCCAACTGGAGGGGAAAACAGATCTCAACTCGAGGTGGCTATTACCACAGCCACCAAGCTCTGAAGGAGGGCATGATAGACTATCAATGCCATTGCAATTTGTCCACTCAGTCAATATTGAAGCATCATTTAAATTGCCACTAGATGTGACCTTCTCATCCAAAGTATGGCTCTCACTAGCACTGCTAGTTTTCATTTTATCAAGTCGCTTGAACATAGATAAGTTCATTTCTCCAGAAGCTTTTCCTTGACTTAATTCCTGACAACATCTTGAGCATAGGCTATATGAACAGCTTGGACAGCTTCTATGGAGATCCAAAATGGGTGTCTTGCAGTGATTGCTGGGACAAGGTTTTTACATTAGTTAAGAAGCAGCACCAGAAAATCATGTCACTTTCCCAACAGCACCCACCCTATAGAAGATAACTTACCAATAATTTTTCTCATTGCAGCCAAATTCAACTTGCTTGATTTGAATATCAGAAATATTTTTCCCTGGCATCAACAAAGGCATCTAAGATATATATTTTAGAATAAACAAAAATTTGCTTCAGAAAAAATCAATTTCACAAGAACAAAAATTACTACCTTTAACTTTTGCTTCTGTTTCTAGCTCAATATTCTGATCTTCATTTATCTGCTTGAGTACTGGAAGGAGCATGCAGATCAAATAATGAAAATGCAATATTCTATCAACTCTGCTCTTACCAGTTAAATATTCCTGATAAACAACAGGTCATAAACTGTAGTGTCAGTATATGCAATTAACGAAACACTGTTCAAGCAGAAGAGCATCCAGTTTGATGTCAGACCTTACATTCACTGTCTTTACATTGACTTGCTGAGCAATCCTTACAAGTGCAAGTTCCACGACAAACTGGACATGCCTTCTTAACTTCATTTTGAGTGTCCAAATACCTAAGTTTGTTTAGATAAATATTGACAAATGTCTTATATTATGATTATGACCCGATTCTCAATTTAAAAGGAACATGCAAAGAAATTATATTGGTAAACATCTAAGCAAAAACAAATAACGATTCCATATGCATGAAATCAATTTTTCTTTTGTTAATTTTAACTATTCATAATAAACACTGTTGACAGCGATAAACACCGCACACATCTATCTTAACTACATCAAAAGGGCCATCCTTTGCTCTAAGGATAAGCTGTGGAATTATCAAGGTTATCAATGGCAGAGTATGGTGGAAGGCCAAAATTCAGCCATATAAACATGTCATGCGGCCAATAGCACTACCATTGGGGGCCTTCCTTCTCAATTTGCCTAAAGTGGAGGCGTAAAAAACTGCCAAATTATAACATTATTTTGGTGCAACAATGGTTATTTAACAACATTACAAATTATTAGAAGAATCTCTAAGCTAGGAAATTAATTTATCAAATCGCGTGTCTCAAATTCAAGTTTCTGCATTGCCACCAAAAGGTTAACCACCAAAAGCAACAACTTTTCAAATGGAAATAAATCATAAATACCCTACAACACAGACAAAGAATCTCGCACGCGAATACCAACAAAGAAAAGCAAAAATTAACACAACATCAAACATTGAAACAAGTAAACAAAGAGAGATAATTTCATAAAGGTTCATTCTCATTCGAATGCTCAAAATAGAGAGGGTTAAGTGAATTCAACAAAAACAAACCGCTCTTTGATGCAATCCATGCAGAAAAAATCCCTCTGACAGCTCGAACACTGGATGAGATTGCAGGACTCACTTCTCTGGCACCAATGACACTTCTTCTTCTTACCTTTAGTACCTTTCTTCAAGTTCGATCCATATGGCGCAATCTACACAATAACCCAGATGAACAATTCAAAACTCCCAAAACAAAAATCACAACAAGTATAGTTAGTTAGAACAGGAGTGCAAATAATATTCTGCAAAACACACCTGCAACTTCCCCACAGGGACTCTGTCGACATTCTTGGACCTAAAGTAACGCGGAGTAGCAGCTTTACTTTCAACACCAACTTTCACGTCACAATGCGAAGCCACATTGTCGTAATCACGAGTCGGCGAAGCCGGAGAGATTTCCATCACACCATTCGGCAATTCCCTCCTCAACTCCCCTTCACCGTAACACAATTCCTCTTCCTCCTCTTTTTTCTTCTTCTTCTTGTTCTTGTTCTTATTCTTCTTCTTGCTCTTGCTGTTTTTGTTCTTCTTCTCCGCCTCTCTCTTGAGAACCATCCTTATGAGCTCCAACTGCATATCGCCCTGCTTCAGCGCCTTCTTCTTAGCGGGAGAAGGAGCCACCACCTCCAGCGCCTCGGAACCCTCCGAAAGCCTGCGCTTCTTCTTTACGATTCTTGAGGTTCTCCGTGCCCTAGATTCGACATTGTCCACAGCATTAGGCTCCTCCTCGCTCGTCTTGCGCTTCCGGTGAAGCTTCAGCGACTCCGGAACCTTCTCTTTGTACTGCCGATGGCGACCTTGGAGGTAGTGAATCTCACACAGCTTCAGGTTGTCCTTCACTCGCCGCCGGCACCGCCATTGCCGGCCGTCGGTGCGCCCGCAACGGAGATGGTCAGGCAAAGGCTCCTCCGCTTCCTCTGCCTTCGGCTTCTTCGTCATTGAGTTTGATTTTCGGAGAGAATTGGGAATTTTTTTTCAATTTTTTTTTACCAAAGCGCGGAGAGAAACCGTGTTTCTCTGCAGAGAGCGCAGAGGCAGGAAAAAAAAAAGGGTTTTTCTGTTTCTCAGGCCCAAAGCGAGATTGTTTGTTGTTGTTATTTATTGGGAAGAAAAAACACAACAGTGAGAATGAATGGCATTGGGAATGGCATGTTCCCGTAATTATTTGCAATTGCAAAGTCCTGTTTGGTCTCTTAAGCCTCGTTGATCGTCTCAGAGAAGATCGGGACTAATCGAAATCTTGTGATCTTATCATCACTCAGTCTTTGTCACCTCATACAATGCAAAGTATTTCTGTCAAAATGTAGTTTTTATTTTTCTATCTTTTTTTTTTATCTTGTTTGTAACCGGATTTTGCTTCCAAATTATGTAACTCAATCTTTGGAATTATTGGAAAGGGGCTTTTTTTTAGCAGATTTGCACGTTTTTTGAGTTTCTTGGGCTGAAATCAACCGTGAGATAGTATTAATGATAGTGTCCTGATGTGTAGCAATGTAGCATTTGGCTTTTGATCAAGCAAGTTTGATTCAAGTTATGTGGTTAAACTCATGAATGAGCAATGCAGTGACCAATCAATGTATTTTTGGTAGCAGCCTTTGATGTATATTACTTACAACTATAAGAAGCGTTTTTGCCTTTGCTCTGTAGTCTCTTTGATGAGCTAATTATGTTAAATCTCCTCCAACATATTGAGTTTTGGCTTGCACAGGATCAGTGTAGGACTAAGCTTTTTTGTATTGGGTTGATTTGTATTATACCTTTGTGTTGAAAATGAGGGAAGGGAAAAAAATTCAGAAGTAATTTACCATTCGACATTTTCCTCTTGATATTCTAGGTTCTAACAGCAAGCATTTAGAAGTCACAGCGAATCATTATGAACTTGGGCTAGTAATTGGCATAAATTTGTTTTAATGTAAACAATAATTTTGAATTTAAGTAATGAGCATAACTATGTTTGATATCAGGATGAAAATTTTTGTCTCTGCAATGATCTACTCAATTCAAACAATCTTATTATTTATTTTTTATGTATATGGCTATAAAAGGAACTGAAAAAGCAAAAGATATCAGAAATGAGTTAGTCTTTGCATCCATTCCTTTATGCTGGAGATTAGCTGATTTGGTTGTTAATTAGTGGTGCAAGTACTTTTTTTGGGCTGCAAAATCTTGAATTGTTGTTGATAAAGGAACAAAGCCCATTGTTCATTTGTGTAAATTTGATTAAAGTATTGGGCTGAGGCTCACAGTTAAATGCAGATAGTGTACCATTATGCTGCAGCACACTTCTGATGTAAAGAGAATCTCTCGTCACGAAATATTCACACCAACCAACTTGATTGTTGATGGACTTTTGATTCCATTTAAATCAAAGACTATGAACATGCAAAATTGAAACAAATCCCACATTTGTATTGCTTCTGATTTTTTTTTTTATTAACATCCACTTCAGAAGTTATTGTACAAACTCAAAACCAATGTCATGTTTAAAGAACAATGTTAGTATAAAAGAACCAAAAGTTCAATATTAGCATAGTACATAAACTCAGAAGAATAAGACATTATAAATGTAAAACGACACTGCAAACAAAGATTAATTTTATAGCTGATATCCAAAGGATTGAATCTTATGAAAATATTATTAAAAAGTTTTTATTTGAACAGCTTTAAATATTCTAATTAAGATACTTAAAAATATTAAAGTCGATAAAAAATTTTATCAAAAAAAAAAATCATCACCTTTGGGTACAGTAACTATGTATCAGAAATCTTTCTCACGTGCCCAGCTTTTTTCTTTTTCATATAATTTCAGTGAATCTAAACCATGGCAATGTTAGAGTCATGTTTTTTTTTGTTCCGTTTTATTGAAAGTACAAGAACTATGGAACCTTTGACAATTTTATCTCCGTTGAAAAGTTTTGGTTGTAGCATATGAAAAAAATTATATTCATCATTTAATTATTTTTCTTAACCCTTATAACGTAACATGAAACTTTCTTAGCCTTGTATCTCTTAATAACACTATTATAAACATATTTACTCTTAATCTATAACTAGTTACATTTGAATATATAGAATTAACAAGATGTTCATCAAACATGTTTTGTTTTAGAAATAAATAATGTTCAAAATAATTATATTTAAGTATGCTAATTTCTTGTAATTATTTATAAATTTTACCTTTTTTTATAATTAGAGTCACCATACCAAATATTATTTTATTTCTTATTTGAAATGTAGTGAAAATAGTTTATAAGGTATTTCTAATAGAAGTATCTCAAAAATATAAAATATAGATTTGTTATATTATTAATTTTAAGTAATTTAAAATTGATTTTACTTTAATAAAATTTTATTTAATAACGTTTAAAAAACTCGTTTTCTTTTTTATTTTCTCTTCATCCATTTTGTTTTGTTTTCATTTATTTTATTTATTTTTATAAATTACTTAATAAAATAAATATAAAAAACAACTAATAATTTATTTAAATATATCATCAAACAATTCTTTCTCAAGATACTCCTAATATCTAGAAAATAATAAAGTGTGATTGACTTTTCTATTTTTTTTAAGTTTATTTACTTAAAATTCCAAACAAAGTAATCATTTTATTTTATTTGTTTTTTTTTAATATTTCATATGATGAGGCTACTTATATTTTTAATTAAATTTACCATTTAATTTAGGATTTATTACCATTACTACTTATAAAAGCTAATCAACATCTTAATAAATGTTACAGTTTTACTTAACATTAATTATTTTTTATAAAAAATTTTAATTTTAAACTTTAAATTCCAATCCCAAAACTTTAGTCACTGGTGTGGTTAATTAGGCTCCAGTACTAAAGCAAAAAAAAAACTATAAATTAAAAATTAAAACTAATGGAGTAACACAATAATTTAAAATTTACCCCAAAATGGAAGGGAGGATTACGTGGTTATTGGGGTATGAAAATACATAATAATGAGTTTTATATTATTTAAAAATTGAGATTAATAATAATTTATATATATATATATATATATTTTTTTATCAAAATATTTTTTAAAGATAAATTAAAATTCCAAAAAAAAAGAATAATCCAAACATGAAAATTAAGCTAACGATAGGATCGTAATTAAATTCTTTCTATAAAAAGTTCGCATGGATCTTGAGACACTAATTACTGCAGCTCATGAAAGAAGACACCCCAATATCCATCTCCATTTGTCATTTCTCCTTTCTCCAGATTTCAGCTGTGTCTGCGTCAGAAAACAAATTCCTAGGAGAATAGGAAAAAGAAGTAGATCATATGCACCTTAAAACCCTATAAATTAATAAACAAAAAAAGGGTATAAGAGTAACTAAAAAACACAACCTGTGTTGTTCATATGGATGCCTTTCACTTCCCACAATCCCATATTGCCAGAAAAGCATGATTGAGTGCAGTGTCGATGACAATTCATCTGCTTCAGAACACAAGTGGGAAGAGAATCTTCATCAACGCTGCACTCAATGATGTTTCTCTAATATGGGGACTTTCCAAAACTGCACCAGATCCATTTCATGCTTTCCACAACAACTGCATCTGTTTCTGCTATGTATATATATAATATGAATTTCGCTGCTAAAACTTACATAGTGAATGTTGAATGTAGTACACCAACCTCTAGTTTGTACTCTCATTTCGCCACAAATTGATTAGTTGTTATCCCTTCATCTTTTATCCATCACTATCTGCAATGTGCAAAGGGAAATTCTTGTACTGGTTTATTGTACTAGAATGAAATCTTGTACTACATACAAAATATCATTATTTGTCACATGTTTTGTCAACAGTTATTTATTTATCGATTCCACATGATTTTTTCGTTGCAAGTCTGTGTATTAATGAGTTAAAGGTGAGAGAGGTTGAATATATTTTTCGAAGTTATAAATTATATTGCTTTTGACAATTTCAAATTTGCCGTCTTCGTCAACCTACAAAAAGAGAAACGAATCTTTATTTGTAATAAAATATTACATTGGACCAAAAAACATGAAGAAATGTATTTTCCCTGGAAAATTGCTTGTGATTTTTTTTATCCTGTTCTATCATTCAATGTCTAAAATGAATTAGAAAAGCAATATATTTTATTGGAATGAAAATTTATATCATTTGTTAACTAATTTGATATGTGATTATGAAAAGATAAACTAAACTTTTTATTGTTTTTCAACTATTAATCGATTTAATCCCTAAATAATAAAAGTGGTGTATTTATTTTTAACCAGTACTAAATCAATATACCATTTAAAAATATCATTTACTATAGTCCATTAAATTTCTGGTAATAAAACTAATTTTGATTTATATAAATGGATCAAATTTGACTATGATAAATTTAATAAATATGGAATAATTTAGAGATAAGTAATAATTAATTAAAAATTAGTTTATGAATTAAAGTCTAATTTAACATTTAATCTTAGTTATACATTTTTAAGTTATTTATCAAAGATTAGATTATAAATTATTAAATTAGAGTATAATTTTTAATTAATAATTAAAATCTTGATGGTGAGAATTAAAAATCAATTTTAATTTTTTCAGAAAACAGTTTAAGTTAAATAGTTTTTAATTTAATTAATATAATGACTAAATATTTTTTATCTTTAAATTAGTTGATATTGAATAATTTTTGTTTGTATTCATTAAAGTTGAAAATTTTAAACATTCCTGGTAATTATGAAAATTAACTATCATATTAATAAAATTTAATGTTCATCACTAAAATAACAGACAATTTCATTAAAAACAACTATTTTCATATTAAGAAACTAAAAAATATTATTAAAGAATAATAATTATAATTTTACAAAATAATTTAATATATTTATACGTTATAATATTATTGTATTTATAATTATTCATCATATTTAATTTTAAAAAATATTAAATACTTAAATTATTCTAATCGAGTTAGATTTGGTTAGGGGAAAAAATTTCATCATTGAACAATTAATATTGATATATAAGATATAAAATAAAATGTTGAACTATTGAGTTAGAGATATAAAAAACTATTTAATCCAAAGAAACTCATTATACCTCGGAAAAATGCCACAGAGAGACTTTTTAATATTCTTTCTTTTCTCTCATTGTTCAGGATCTTTTCACGTAACTTGAGAGAGAGGGTTTTTTTTTTAAAAGAAAAATTATAATTGTTATTGTTATTATGAGCATATTATTATCTCTAATTTGTATTTGTTTTAAATTCTAATAATTAGAATTTTTACAATTTTAATTATTTTTATATGAGTATATGTTATCAAATTCAAATTAAGTATTTTTTTTATTTAAATTCTAACAAATTCTTTGGTCTTTAAATACTACTGATATAATTTACTATTGTTTTGTATTAAAATAAAATTAATGTTCGATTTTATATTGTTAAGTTAATTTGACTGAACAAAAGAATATAAACTTTATTTTTCAAATTAAAATTTTCACAAATTCATTATTCTTTGAAGTTCCATTCTTTACACTATTTTTTTTTAAATTAAATTAAATCCAATGCTCTTTTTTATATCCTATGTTAAAATGCTAGATTAAAACAATACAATAATTGATTTTACATTTTTTTATTAAATAAATGTATATAAAAAGTATTTTCCCTATGTATTTGTTGGGGTTAATTAATTAGCTATAGAAATGAATATATTTAATAGAGATAAAATGTTCCATTTGTATATTTCTTTTAAGAGTAATTAAAAGTAAGTTGATATATCTACGAAATTTTTTTTTCCTATAATAAGTTGAACACAGAAAGAAATTATATATATATATATATATATATATATATATATATATATTACATTTAATTCAAATAATTATTTTCCAAGCAATATTCGGACATATATTCAAGAATCAGTTTCTCTCTGTTAAATAAGAAAATATTATGATAAATTTAAAAATGAAAGAAAAAGTATAATTTATTGAATTGGTTAAATAAACAATGTATCTTTTTTATTTGGACCAAGTAACATGGCATCTGAAAATAACAATTCCTGTGTCTAAAATGTTTTGGGCCACCTAATGTACAACAGACCTTTATTTTGGACTAAAATTGGATCTAAAATGAAAGTACTTCTCCAGGCCCAGAAAGAAGAAGAAAAGAATGCCATAATTTTATTTATTAAACTCTTATTTTGAAAAACAAGTTTTTAGAAGCAAAAACTTGTTTTTAAGTGGTATTAAAAAAAATTGAAAAGAGACTAACTGCAGTTTAAAAATCGAACATATGAGAAAAGTGCTTTGGCAAGTGAACAAGGTGTGAGATTTCTTTATTGCGATTTTTAGGTTATAAAACTCTTTTATGCGCCGTCCACTAGTGGCGTAGCCATACACGTCCTTGTAATCATGAACAACTTGGAATAGAAAGAAATAAGCAACTTACCTTTCAGAATATCTTATATATCCTTTCTCATCATTTCTCAATAGTTAAAACAATCCTATTTTTTTTAGAAGTGAGTTTTGGAAATATTTTTTTATATCCTATTCTTTGGAATAATTAAAACTGTTATGTTTTATGGATAAGCATATCTTTTTATATGCATTGAAAAGAACTATCTTTTAAACATTAGAATAACAATTCTTGTCTTTTTTTTTTATTACTTACTCTTATTTTTTAACATGTCCATTTGTCATCGAATCTTAAAATTGGGATTTTTATTCTAAAAAAGTTAACAAAAAAGGAATTGGTCAATGGTGAAGGAATATTTTTGCTTTATGAAAAAAAATATATCAATTTAAATGTTATATGCATTTTATTATAACACTCAAAATGGAGAGTACGAAACAATATATCAGGTCAATTTTAGATTTATAAAACATAAAAAATTAATATATATATTTTTTAAATTTAGTTCACATTAATGTAATAACCAAATTTTATTATTTATATATAATAAATTGATATTAAATTTAATTTCCTAAAAAATAACTAATATAATTTAAATATGTAAAATGTCACATCAATTATATATTCATAAATCTTATCTTTCTATTTCTAATAATGGCAAGCAAAACAGGTTAATAAAAAAATCTTAATTTATTTTAGAATATAATTTTAACAGTCAAAAGTGATTATATTTACTTACTATTTAATTCAAATTCATTTTAATAATTTTATATTTTTATTTATATAAAAAATACATTGTAGTTTATAATTTGTATTAGGATGATAACTTGGTTTAAAACCTAGCATTGTTAGTCTAATTGCCTCACTTATAAAGTCACACTGATTGCACATATATATACCTTATTCACTAATATCTCATTAACTATCAATTTATTACAAGTAACTTTCTACTTAAATAAAAAAAATTATTCTAATTAATATGAATATGGTAGGTTGTAACTAGTTATTTGAGAAAACGGGAGGACTAATGCATTTTTTTTCACTTTCTTGAACAACAATCTTGTTTGGAATCTTCACTTAATAGTAGTAATAAAAAATATTAAAAAATAGTATAAATAAAAGGATTAATATTTTAATCGAACTAATTTTTCTATTAGTCTTCAATGATGAAGAAGACGTAATTAAATTTTTTTAAAGTAAAATTGTTAAAATAACAATTTTGTCCGATCTAATTTAATTTTACCATCTAAATAAAAAAATATATATTTAATTTGACATATATTTTTAAACGGATCATAACTTTTTAATCTGTTTTAATCTTATGTGGAACTGACTAATAGATAAAATTATTTGATTACAAATTAAAATTGTATTAATATGTCTATATCAAAATAATTAATTAAAAAATATTTAAATAAAGAAATAAAATAAATTTAATTTTTTAATTATATTAATGAAATTAATTTTTATTTTAAATATAATGATTTAATATATACATTACAAAAAGATATCCATTTAATTTTTATTCATTTAATTAAAAATTTATTTATTATTATTATTATTATTCATTATATTTTAATAATTTATTGATATAAGATAATAATTTATCTTAATTATTGAATAGTAAAATAATTGGAGGTAAGAGATTTCCATTTTAGAATAACTAAATCTTTTATCAAATTATTTTTTAATATATAAAAATTTTACAAAAATAAAAATTACTTTAATTTTTATTTAAAAGTAAATATTATTTTATCAATTAGATCGATTTATAAACTTAGGAACTATTATGATCTATGTACATATACGACATAGGACATGGGCTAAATGATCCATAAACTATCTAGTTTAATATCATTTAAATGAATTAAATTAACATAAGTTTGATTTAATTTAAACCATAAATATTTTTATATCCTAGTTTATTTTTTAAGTTTTTAAAATCATGGTTTGAATTCAACTTATTTTGTGTTTTTTTTTCTTGAGATTATTCTTATTCTCGTAATGATAAAATTAACTTGAGGAATTTTTTATATTTATTGGTGATCTTAAGTGGTTATAATCATTAGAGTGAATTGTTTCACATCAATAGTTGTATCTCCAGAAAAGAAATGTAAATTATTAAGTGGCATGTGAAAAATATGCACGGGTTAAAACATTTATGTTATAATTTTGGAGTAAATAAAAGATTATTGGAAGTAAGCCACTCCAACATTGAAATATAATAATTTTAATTAACTTAAATAAAGAGCTGTTTGGATGTTGAAATTAATTTGGAGTGAGAGTGTGGAATGGTAGAGTGAAGATCGGGGCAGGGGCATGGACATCAGAAAAGGAGTTGACAGTGGCCATTGTCATAATCACTCACGTGAATAGAAAATAAACTTGCACAATCAACAATATGTCTTCATCAATTAAAACAGTTATTAATAATCAATAACTAAGTAGGTTTTCTTACCATGATTTTTTATAAATAATATATATGATTTTATTAAGAATATTTAAAAGGAATAGCACTTCAACTTCTATATAAGCTTAAACCCGTGCTCCTTCATGGTCATCACATCTTACTTCATGCCCTACCATAAATTTAGGTCATCTCTGTTCAACAAACTAATTTCTTTTAGACCCAGATAAAACCAATCATGCTATTTTATTAATTATTATAAATTTTACTGATTTATTTATTTTGCCGTCCAGCAGTTTAATAACCGAAAATAGATAACGACTTCAATTGGAACAACAATTTGTAGCCACTCATCCCTAGCAACTCAGACAGCAAACATTAATTAATCTCAGTTTCGTGTTCGTTGACATTTCTTTTATTTTAAATTAAATTACCAAAAACATTTTAAGCTTCTTTCCCATCCTTTTTCTCTGGTATGATAACCTTTCAAAGAGATGTGTCCACACAATAATATATTTGCATCCTCACCATCAACTATTAAGTACCATTAGATTAATTTCATGGCTTGACTATGACACCCGCTGTTGGAAGCAATTATTTTAAATTATATGCATTTAATCATTGCCTCCATTTCAATTTATTTTATTCATTTTTTTACGTATAATTGTGCACATCATTCCAAATTAGAAGGTCTATGTAGCTGTGACATTTTGGAAAATGAAGGAAATTTTATCTTTTCTTTTGGACGGTTAAGCTTGAGGAGACCTATGAAGAAGGGAGCTAGTGATGCAGTTTCTCATGATTTTTTTGGAGGCTCTTTCTTCCCCTTCATTTCAGACATATTCCCCTGGTTGATGCTTATGTTCTCGTAGCTTCTCGTATTGTTTAGTGATCTTTATTCTGCGACCAATTCTTTTACTGTCTATGAGGTCAAATGAAGTCATTATAAACTATTGTGCTTTTGTTTAGTTTCAATTTAGGAATGGTTTGGAGAAATTTTAAATTAATTAGATTTAATTTAAATGATTATTTTTTAATGTTGAAGTGTAATTTTATTATTTTTTGCATTATTAAAAAAATCATATAAGTATATTTAGATAAAATTATGTAAATAAAAGATTACTCATTATATTACAGATATTTTCCTTTAAAAAAAAAAAAAAATGAAAACAGAAGGAATATGAGGCATCAAGTGGGTGAAGGAGGGGGTCCCTATATATATAAGTTGAGAGACGAAGAGGAACAATGCCAGCGGGGGAAGGTACGTGTCTCTGACACCGAATCCACAATCTAAAGCAACGATTCCACTTCCACATCGCCGGAGAATGACGTCACACTCTCACTACCAACCCGACCTAGACAACGACTCCGTCACCTCCTCCCCTCGCTCCGACCATTTCCACGATGCGCCGCCGCGCGTCCGCTTCATGTGCAGCTTTGGCGGCAAGATCCTCCCCCGCCCCCACGATAACCAGCTCCGCTACGTCGGCGGCGACACTCGAATCGTCGCCGTGCACCGCTCCATCTCCTTCTCTGCCCTCATTCTCAAACTCTCCAAACTCTCAGGTATAGGAAAAAAACCACCCTCACATCACATCCCTCGTCTTTGAATTTTTAATTACAATTGTAAATTTTGGTTTTTGTCGGGGTTGTATTGGATGCAGGCATGAGCAACATTACGGCGAAGTACCAGCTCCCGAACGAGGATCTGGACGCGTTGATCTCGGTGACGACGGACGAAGACGTGGAGAACATGATGGATGAGTACGACCGCGTCGCACAGAATCAGAACCCGCGATCGGCGCGGCTTCGGCTCTTCCTCTTTCCCGAAGGGGAAGACTCTCGAGCCAGCAGCATCAGCTCGCTCTTGAACGGCTCAGCCAAACGCGAGAACTGGTTCCTCGACGCGCTAAACGGCGGCGTTTCGGGTCTCGAGCGTGGCCGCTCTGAAGCCTCCTCCATGGTCTCGGAAGTACCCGATTACCTCTTCGGATTGGACAACTCTGACGAAACACACCAGCGCGACCCTCGACCCAAGGACCGACCCGTTCTCCAAGACAGCGTTTCCGTTTCGGATCCGGGTTCTCCCGCCCCGGTTGTTTCCTCCCCGTATTGTTCCACTTCTTCAGCGCCCTGCGTGCCTTCTCTCCCGAACCTTCCCCCAGTAAAAACTAAACTTTCAAACCCGGTTCCTGATTCGGATTCGAAGGAAAATCAAGTCGAACCTGAAACGGAAGCTCAACCGAACCTTAACCAAAACCCGTACCCGGGTAACCCTGTAGTTCACTACCCCCCAGAAGCTTCTTATCCCGCCCATTCAGTAAACCCGGTTCCTGTTTTCTACGTTTCCGGTCCGGTTCAACCGGGAACTGTACCGGTTCCTATGCAGCAGACTCCTTATCCCTACGTTCAACAACCATACCATGCAGTGATGCCGTCTCAGGTTCCCATCGGATACCATCATTTGGTTCCGAGTTCGGGTCAAGTATACGGTGCAGGCGTGAGGCACATGGCTCCAATGCAACCTTACAATCCTTCCGCCGCTGTGGTTCACGACGGGTTGAAACAGCATATGTATCATGCCGTTCAGAATTCCGGTCCGGTTCCGGTTCACCCGTTGATGCCAATGACTGGTGCGGATGAACCGCAGAGAGGTGGAGCGGAGTATGTGGTGGGTCGGGGCCCCAATTCGCTGAATAACTGAGAACCAGTTTTTGTTTAGGGGATCCGAATTGTTACTACGATCATGCAAATGGGTAATTGATGTCTATACGTGCCTGTACTATCAAGTTTAATTTAAATTTTTTTTCCCTTATTTCTTGAATTGAATGCATTACAAGCCAAAATTGGAAATTGCAGAGCAAGTTATTTCAGCATGTACATTATAAAGGACATTATTAATAATTGATATTTGGCTTTGCTACCAATAATTTATTGCTTTTGCGTATTTTTGTCGTGTTAAAAAAATTTGCAAATTTTTTTGGGTTTTCTACTTTCATTTTATTCTCTTTTTCCTGCCTTGTTTCAATTTACTGGAGCTTAAATCATCTCTCTTGAATTTTGGGTATTTCTCCACAAGCAACAAAGGTGAGAATCTTTTGATCTGATCTCAACCTATCTTAAAGGAAGGAGCTTTGTATTTTTGCTGTTAAAGAAACAAAGCCCCCTAGGAGAATTATTGGATAAGGTGTTCCTATGTTCTACAATGAATACGTATTGTTTTTGGTACAACGTTAGAAATTTAAGTAAAGTAGAAAATACAGATGGTTATTACTAAATTTATACATAGGAACAAGTTTCTTCGTGCTTACCTTAACTTACTCTATTATACGAGAGTGTATGGTCGTGGACATTTTCATCCTTAATACGCAAGTTTTATATACTTTTCAAACTACTCTGTTTATATATTTTTTAGAAAAATTAAGATTAAGATGCTCAAAATTAAACTAATTTAAACAAATAACTGAAAATTGATTCAAACGTATCAAAATTAATAAAACGAAATTTTCTTTGGATTTTTTGGATTTCAAATTTAATGAAGAATCCAACAAAATCTTTTATTATATTTAAATATAATACAAGGTAAATTATATCATAATTATGACAAATATTTGTGTTTAATATAATTATAATATTTTATCTGATTTTTATATGATATAAATTACATCCAATTTTATATATGTATACTAACACATATAGTTTTAATTATAAAAAACATTGATTTCATAGAAAACCAGGACGAATTGCAGATATATAATATTAGACAATATGTGATAAATTTTGGATAATATGATATAAAACTACAAACTTTTCTAAAGGTGATAATTTAAAATTAATTGAATAATTAATAATATATGATAAACAAAAAAATTGTACTAAACACAATTATTTTATAATTATTATATGAAAAACATATTTACAGTATAATATAATATGTTTAAAATTAAGAAATTCTATGCTTTAGATTCTTTTTATTTATAATTAATATATTAATTAAAGTATTACAGCAAATTTGTGTTACAGTTTTTATTTATAAAATTGTGTAATTTATTTATAAATAGGATAGCAAATTGAAATTACAAATAGAATAAAGAGTGTATAAAAATATTCACAATATATTTTTTATTTAATCATTTTATATTTAGAATAACAAAAAATACAAAAATTATTTCAACAAAATGATGAAAATTGATTTAATTTAATTTAAATTTTATATTAAGTTATAACTTAAACAAATTGATTTGTATTTAATTTTTATGTTTGATTAAATGAGTTAGGTCAAATCAATATTTTTTTAAAATGTAAAATTCGTATATGCATTAAGAATTAAGTTATACGAAAAAACTTAGAAATTATTTTTTATCTATGAAAATAGCTAATTTTAATTTTTGTATTATTGGAAAAAAAGATATAGAAAATGTCCTCTAAACATTTCTTATAATAAAAGTAACTAGTATGAGTGTCATGTTACTCATCAATCATAATCTCATTCTCGAGATACACTTTTGAGGATGCCAATACTTCCATTATTTTGGAAATTGAACACAATGAGAACATTTAATTAACCATTCACGTGCGCTTTTTTTTTTTTTCTTCTCATATACAACATTTTGTTTGAATCACACGTTAAAATGTCGATCTATCAATGTGCCATTCTAATTTTAATAATAAAATAACATTAAAAACACACGAAAGTATTACCTTTTAACATAGAACCAAAAGATTGATCAATAAATCTTTTGATTCAACTCAATAATAATATAAAATGCACGACCAATTTATTAGAAGCGAAATGCCCAAGTAAACATATATTTATATTATAATATAATAAAATAAGTGAACAAGTATTGTCAAATTATTTGAGTAATGTGTGATATTAAATATTTTAAAAAATTTATTATTTAAAATCATAAATTAAGTTTTTCAATAAAAGATTAATTATCAATAAATGGATAATAATTTATAAGATGGTTATAAAAAAATTACCCTTTGTATAATTTACTTTGTAAGAGTACATTTTTTTATTATTATATTTTGAGCATTAATCCAAATGTTTATAAAATACTTGAAGTTAGTTCAAAGAACTTGGAGGATGACATCGTAAGCAGAATTACTTCAAAATTAATAAAAATTGTTCATTGAAGCAATCAATTATCTATATATATATATATATATATATATATATATATATATATATATATAAATAATAGTTTATTACTTTTTACACTTATGTCTGCATATTAAGAAACGAAGCATATGAATCATTACAAATCCCAATTTCTAGGAATTGAAATCTCCATGTAGTGTAAAGAGGGATTGCATGCGAGCAGTGCCGACGTCTTTTTTATCTTAGATCAATCAATCATCAACCTCCTTTAACTTGTATATAATGTTTTATTTTTAAAAATCTACAGTTTTCATTTCTTTTTTATTTACAATTCTGTGATAATTACTATTTTATAAACATCACATATGTTCTGTTTTAAGATCTGTTTGCTTCTTCAATATATACCAATATTAGGGAATTAAGGTTTAGAAAGTAAAAAGTATCATACAGAAGCTTTGTTAACCAAGAATGATGGGAAAGAGAGGAAGGTAGAGGGAAAAAGAAAGGGAGAGAGAAAAAAAAGGTAGAAGGAAAAGAAAGAAAAAAAAAAAGAGAGTCAAGAAATCTTAAATTATTATTTTCTATTTTTTAAAATAAAATTGTTAAAAATTTAATGAGAGAAAACTTTGCACACACCCACAAATCTAATTGTGTAATTAGTTATTATCTTCTATCAAATCATTTTTATTTCAATTAAAATATATATATATATATATATATATATATATATATATCTCACTTAATGATATAGTGATATCAAATTAATTAGTTATTTAATAATGAAAATTAATAATTTAATAACATAATTAATATTTTATAAAAATAAAAAATATTTTAATTATATTAAGCATGTGATAATATATTTTACCCAAATAATAATTACTATTATAAATTAAAGTAAATGGATGTTCAATATAAGGGAAAAAACATCAAAATTATACCATTTATTAAAAAATTATCGTGTCATTTTAAAAAAAAATTATTTGATAAAATGACTTTATAAAAAGAATTGTATTACCAAACAGGATTTCAAGTTTTTCCTTTTTAATGTTTTTTTTGTCTTAAAATGAGGAGATACTATCTAGTACAAATTTATATATATATATATATATATATATATATATATATATATATTTATTATTATTAATAATAAATTAATTATCAATAATGAATAATAAAATATTAATAAATTAAATAATTATTACTTTTTGTCTTTTATAAATATTATTATCATCATTAGTTTTAATAATATTATTAATAAATAATAAATACAATAATAATAATAATTGATATTAATTATTTTATTTATACTATTTTAATTTTCATTAAAAATATCATTATTAATAGTTAATAACTAATAAATATAATAATAATAAAATTAATAGTAATAAGTATTCATTATTTTATTTATAATATTTTTATTAATTTTATTATTTATTATTAAAATTACCAGAATTAAATTTATTAATAATAAATTTATAAACAAAAATAAACTGAAATCTTGTTTTTATTAATAATATGATTATTAATTTTATTATTTATTATGATTATCTTAATAAAAATAATCATGCTAATTTTAATAATAAATAATAAAATTAAAAATAAAAGTAAAATAATATTAAAGATAAAATTATTATAAATAAAATAATTAATATGAATTATTATTATTTTTATTAATGATAGTAATAATAATATCTAAATATAAAGTGAAATAGTATTAAATAACACGGCCTCAAGTTAAAAAAAAAACACTGAAACGTTAAAACACGACCGACTTACCATCTAAGTATTTTTTACCGTAAGTCGAATTTTTTTTTATTAAAATTATATCATTTTGGTGGTTTCCCCAATGTAAGAATTTCAACGGAAAGGTGAAATGAAGGCAAAGTGCAAAGAAAAAAGAAAAGCAAAATGAAAAAGGTAAATCGATGGATGGTTGTTGCGTATGACATGTTTCAAGTGTGGCTTTTCACAGGCTGAATGTACTTTGGAAGAAGTTCTTCATGTACTTCGCTTTTGGAAGCATTATAAGGGTAACACAAACATGTCCTTAGTGATTGAACCTACAATCATATTAACATCAGATTCGAAGTTTCATCCCCACTTATCAAAAATAATATATTAAACGTTTTCTGTTCATTTTGAATATAGAGATTTCATAGCTCAGTTGGTTAGAGCACCCGTTTAGTAAGCGGGAGGTCTTGAGTTCGACTCTCAATGAAAGCATTTTAAATGTTTACTTTTCCAATTTTAAATATCGTTGCAATGTTTTTTCTTAATCTTTACATTTAAATAGCCTTAAATTTAGCTCTTGAAGGCTTCACAAACAATTGAACCTTCTTGTACATAGGATACAGTACAGAAAACGGAGATAAACTGAACCCAACAAACAACGTAACTGGAGCTTTAATCTATTGAACATAGCACATGCACATGCACAACATGATGACAGCATTTTTGTACCATCATCAAACTATGTTACAAGGGTTTGGGAAAATTGGACCCACCCCATTAGTTGAAACCGGAAGAAGATTATGTACACGAGTATAACAGCATCTCCTTCCGAGAGCGAATCTGAAACAGAGCATCGTTCTTCATGCTAATGGAAAGCCATCCCAGAAAGAAACAGTAAACAATACTTGTTTCTTGGTGTCTCCATCCAACAATATAGTCCTTAATATGAACCTTCCATGTATGGAGGAATGCTCACTACATCTCATCTCAGCAAGAAATTCAATGGGATTTTGAAATGTGTGGCGAAGGTGCATTGCTTCAAATCTTCCTCACTACCTTGAATTAAAATGGATTGCTGACATTTGTGTCTGTTTTTGTTTCAAATGAACTTTCATGAATATTCACGATGGAGACAGTGGAAGGAGGATGTAACTGAAAGAATCCTTTGCTGTTTTGGTCAAAGCCACCAATGCATATTTTATCACCCCGACCATGCCAAGTGCCATCTTGAACATTGTTCATCTCCAGCGTTCTAGACTCCTGCATCATTTTACCAAGACACACATGTTTAATATCACCATTTTTGGTTATGGCCACCCTTAACCAATACAAGATTTTTTGAGGTTCTCACTAGCTTAAAAATTATCCTTATTCAGTATTACCGTTGGAAGAATTTGATATGAATTTCAGTTGGAGTAGTGATATTTTGACAACCAGAAACCATACAACTCTTCAAACAACTCATTTTTATTAATATAATAATCTATAGACTGATTTAAAAAAAATAAAAAAAAATAAAACTATTATTATAATATTAAAACAGAGTTGTTTACAGGAGTTGTATGGATTTGGGTTGTCAAAGTATCATTTTCCTTTCAGTTGTAAGAACATGTTCATAAAAATGAGTTAAGAATTAGGTGTTGTTATACTATATATGACAATCAAAATAATCCAAGATAACTTAATTGAGAAGGGAAGGAAATTTCGAAAATGACCTGACATAATGTACAGCAAGGACAGGCGAAATGGTAAACGCAATCATCTAAGGAACTGTCACTACCCTGAAAAAGTTACAAAAAAATGGTGCATTAGTTTGTCAAAACATATCCAACTATATAAGTAAATAAATCATCAACACTATAATGCATTTCAATCCATGCAATAGGAGGTTATATGACTCAATGTTAACCATATTTCCATCAGGCAAAGGAGCAAACAGAAGTTTGTTGAATAATTCATCACTAAATCCAAACAACAAAGTATGTATTCACAAACAATTACAGAAAAATACCCACCTTGATGTTGAACTTCTTTCTTAGTCGTGTCCGGAAGAATCCTAAATATGCTCCAAAGGAAACAACGAAGGCAACTCCCAGGTATAGATTGCAGTGACGTCTCGTGACAGCAAAGGCAATGAAGTTAAGAAAGGCACCAATGGCAAGAACAAAATATATCGATGCCTGGAAAACAAGACATGGAATCATGTTTGAATTTCAGAGAGCTACATCAAATATTATATGAAAAAACTGCCAATTTCTAAGGAACACTTTCATCATTTTCACCAACTCAAAAGCTTTTAACTTTCTAATCAATGTTAAAGTTTGTTCGCTTGCATACCTGAATGTAGCAAGAACCAAAACCAGCTCTCTTCATGTTCTTCCCAAATCGGTAACAAGGACAACTGCAACACCCAAATGAACTATTATTTTCAGACATGATAGACATATCATGATCATATCAAATATCTGAACTCCTACGCTTGAAACTGAAATTGAACAACTTCATAGGAAAACAAAGGACTTTTCATAATAATATTAGCTAACCACACTTGTATTCCAGAAAACAAAAAGGATCTTTATGAACTGTTATGTGTCATCAGAAAATAACATAATTGAAAGACACACAAACCTCAAAACGAACAATGATGAATATCCCAGAAGGAAAAGAAGCACATAACAAAATGTGATCGAACAATTCATTACCATGTGGATTCAAGAGCGATGCGATGATCATCAAAACACTCAAGAATTTCACCCTCCCACATCCTCAGGACACCACCAAACTCACCACCCTCTTCTTCTTGTTCATCTTCAACTTCAAGCTTCCCCCATTTTCCATGCTGAGCTCGCATAGCGACAGTGGAACAAAGCACATCAAAGTCCAAAACCGCCACACCCTCGAGCAACCTGTCTCTCTCTTCCTCCTCCATCACCCTCTCTTGCTTCTCCAAATCCCCCATTACCTCAAATGAAACTTGCCCCTCCAGAAACCTTTGGTGTGGGTTTTCAACAAGAGAATAATAGAAAACATGAATAAATAAAAACCAGAGCATTATTTATATTATTAAAAGAACAAGATAAGATAAGGACGATTGTTTTGTTGCTGTGTGTGCGTTGACACATTCATGAATCTTTTAGGTTGGCGGGAAATAATTGTGTTGGGACCAAAACATGGATCCATTATCAGGGTGCAGCTGTTGCCACGTGGAAAGTGGAATATAGTGGCTGTGTTTTCTCCACTAAATACGAAATTAGGGTGTGCTGCTACCAATTTGGTTGTGGATCTTATTCTTATCTTATTCCCACTAATTGAGCAATACTATTAAATAATTAATAATTAATTAACTACTTGGTTTTTTGGTTTACGTTTTGTTTTAACAGCAACACAGAGTTTCTAACAATAAACGAAATCAATTATACGAAGTCACTATTTCATACCAAAAATAGCACAAACTTCACGCCATTCTTATTTCGTCCTCGAAACTTTGTTCTGTGTAAAAGTTGGAAAATTCACACCCCACTAGCGAGTTTGATTTGAATATTATGGGCTCATTAATTGATGAAGAATAATGATTAACTGGTAATGTATGAATGAAAAATATATGATTACAAATTCATGATTTTTTGTTGACCGAAAAATCGTGATTTTAATGCTAATAATTGATTTGGATTTAATTCCAATATTCTACTGTATTCCATATTATTATTATTAATTAATATTGCTATGTTTGAAATTCACCTTTGACTGTAACCTGAATATTTTACAACATCATTTAATTAGACTTTGTTGACAAAATTATTTCAATATATATTTGATTCATATGCTTACTATAGTTTTTCATTTTAGTTCTTGCGTAAGAAATTTGTACACTACATTTTGATCTTAGCGGGAAAAGAAGCTTTATATTATATTTGGTCTTACATGTAATATTCCGTGTTAGTAAGATGGTTTTAATATATAATGAATTAAGTGTTATAAAAAAAATGTTATTAATAATCATTAATAATGCTGTAACATGTATTATAAAATAATGTTATAATTTTTTATATTATTATTATTCTTATATTTAATTTAATTGTTATAGTTTTATGAGAACGATATTAGAGATTTATTTGAATTTATTAAAAAAAATTCAGATATTTTTATTATATTTAATTTACACAAAACAAGTATTTAACATAGAAACTGATATTAAATAAATGTAGATATATTTAAATTTGTATATAATATTATTTAAAATGTATTTTTTATTTGAATAAAAGTTATGTGGAATTTCTAACACAATTAAAATAAAATAGATACATTATGAAAGAAAATTAGTTAAAATGGAAAAAAATCCTTTTAGTGCCAGGGTGTTGTCCGTAACTACCCTAGAAATCGCTACTATAATGATGTCTTCGCAAAGTAGTAAACAAGTAAATAACAACATCTATTTTACATTATATTATCGTAATTGCAACATATATTGAAATTCCAGTTCACTAACGTAACTTCAAAATATAGTAACATAATTTATTTATATATTATACATGTAAAAGTAGCTCCTCGAAGTTATCCCACCGAACTATCCTCGCTGTCCAGTAGTCACATCACCATCTCTCAACTCCCGATCCGCTCCCACACAAAAGTGATCATCGCAGTCCCATCCACATGGAAAAATAGGGGTAAGTATTAAATCATTCGATATAATAAAACAAATATAGAAGTAATAATTATATATTATGATCAATTACGAAATTATCAACACACTAAGACACCTTCCGAAGTATACCCTAACTATGCCCGAACTCGGAGGCCTATCATCTCGTGGGCACATTGTGATCGGTACCCGCAGCACCATTCCGACCACCCTCCACACGAGTAGGATTATCGGCGCCTTTCATCACTCATACTGGAGTACCCTTCCGAGCGCGCCACCAGTCATCCCCCCATCGACTTCTCACCACCCGATCTCGTAGTCTACCCGACCCGACCAATCAGTGAAGTCTGGGACCTCATTCAGAATCCTCTGACATAGTTATTACACTAATGTACTATGTACCACCCCGGGTACCATTCAAACATACAAAATTTATTCACATTTGCCGGATTCTGGACCACCTGTCCTTCCGGCTCATTTGGGTCAATAAAAATAGTATTTGACTGATTCTGGCATCAACCTTTTGGCTCAGTCTAGCCAATATATAACTTCTCAGGACTGATTCTGGGCATCAGTCCTCAGGCTCAGTCTGACCCACACACGTCACAACACTCTACTTTCATTCTTTCTCTCTCTTTATATATATATTTTCCTAAAAATCATTTCCGAAATCATTTCCGAAACTATTTCTGAAACTATTTTCGAAATCACTTTCGAAATCATTAAATTACTATTTTGCCCTTAATCTTTTAAAAAAATCCCCACCATCTCCCTTTCTTCTTCCTTCGCTCGCTCAAGCGAGTACACCGGTCGCTTAAGCGAGACATGACCCGAGGGTCACCATTGTTTGAAGGCTTCGTCGCTCAAGCGAGTACAGCGGTCGCTTGAGCGAGACATAACCTTGAGTCGCTCAAGCGATGTATTTGTCGCTTGAGCGAGAAAGAACCCGAGAATCCAAATTTTCCAGGTGTCCTCGCTCAAGCGACGTATTTTTCGCTTGAGCGAGTTTTTGCAGATTTTCCAGTCCGCCATTTTCAAAATCCAGATTTCAAATTTCTCAGTTTCAATCACCCAAATTAGTTCCAAATCAAAATTTAACCATAAACATGTTCAATTTAAGTTAAAAACAACAATTTTAGTATATAATTCATTCTTAATTTCAATAATTTAAAAAAAAAAGCTTTCGAACGATCAACTGTTCATCAAAATCAGAAATTCTTCAAAATTAGACATTCTTCAAAATTAGACATTCCAATACTTCATATCTCTACTCCTATTCCTTATTCATAGAGTACCCAAGCAATTCAATTTCATATATTGAATGAATTAAACTTCCCCTTACTTGGTATGGTATTTCTACCGAAGTCGTCCCACTTAATTCAAGTTCTCTCCCGTTTCACTGGATCCTGCACGAGTAGAGTCTCGTTGCTTGAAATTTAGACAATAGAAGAAGAAGGATGAGAGGAAAATTTTGATTCCCCTCCTCCCCCGCTTCAGTATTCATATATAAGAAAAATTTTACTGTGCAAGAGAAAAACTTCGTTACGAAGTTTTCTTGCACAGTAATATTAATATAATATTAAAATAAGGCATACGTCACATTGTCTTATTTGGTCAAAGAGTATTTCATCGTTGAATTTTTTAGAATTTGTAATTGTTTTCTCTATAATTTTCTTAATTTTTTTGTTGGAAATTTTATTTTGATCATATATATGGAGATAACAATATGTTATTATCTTATGTTTGACATGATAACGCCCCAAAATCTTCTTCACAAATTTTGCATTATAATAAATACTTTTATTATAAATTTTGCATTATCTATCTAGGATTCAATAATTATAATTCAGTTGAAGAGATAATCTATTATTATCTTGATGTATTTATTTGATACTAAAAAGATTTTGAAAAACATTATAAAGATGATAAATGCTGAGTATGTGAATAATAACTGAGTTTGTATCTAAACATCTTCACATGTCTTATGAGAGTGAAATATTTATTTTAATGTGAGATGAATAATGGAGTTTACAACATTCTAAACTTCCAGCAAGACTGATTTTTTTATCAAAGAGTGTTTTATTTAAATTAATATTAAAGGTCTATATATCATAATTATTTTCATTTAACTTATCAATAAAAAAGAGATACATTAACATGATGAAATCTAATTTAAGACGAAGAAGTCATGAATCTTAATTAATGACTAGATAATACAGTATCAATAAAAATAATAATAATAATAATAAAAAAACTCAACAAAAAAAATGATGATGGAATTAAATGAAGATAATATTAAAATAAAATTTTACGATTAAAAAAATTTGATATTGATAACGAGTAAAAAAAAAAATACATGTTAAGGTTTAAATTGTAGATGCTGTATTAAAATAAATATTAGAAAGAAATTAGAAGAAAATCCATATGTATTATATATAATAAAGAAATAAATATCATATGATAAAAAAAAGTTGAAGCTGTGTATATTTAGTTATTTAAAAAATTATATTTAATAAAATAAGTTTATTAGGATTTAAAAAAATATTATATAAATTATATAACATAATTTAACGGTAGAAGATCGAAACCAGTACATGTCATTATAATTTAAGGTTTTAGGATATATTTTAAATATAACACTTAAAGAAAAACTATACCAATTTTATAATACTTTAAATATAGAACAAATCAACAAGATTTTTTTTTAAATTCTAAAATAATTTTAATAATACTTTATAAAAGGATAGTAGGAATTGAAGGTAGTAATCCTGAGAATTTTCCGAGGATTGAAAATTCCAGCATGATGCGCATGAGCAAAGGGGTCTTCCCTTTTTCAGCGGGAGCCGTTAGAGTCAATACATTACTCCTAATAAAATCAATATTCAATCAAGAAGGTACACCTGTTCCCACGAATATTCCCACTTCTCATACAATACTAACCACCACGTGTTTCAGTGTTTCCACAATTTTAAACTCCGGTCTGCTTATGCAACTTACAACTTCTTCTTCTTTTTTTACTCTAATTTTCATTTTTTATATATATCTATTATTTTATTTTATTTTAATTATAATTACCTTTTATTTAGTTTTAATTAATTCATATATATTTGTTATGACATAGAAATTAAAATATACAATAAAAATTTCAAACTATTTTCTTATAAAACATTTCCTGCTTATCTCACTAACCTGCACTAGTTAAAGATTTTTTTTATATTAAAAATCATATAAAACAGATTAAAATATTAAGGATGAGTTTGTTATATATTTCAATAAAAAATATACCTTTAATTTCCTAGCTTGTAAGCATTTATTTTCTT